AGTCAACTCATGGCTTGGTCAATTCAAGTCTTGTTGGGTCAAATTTGACCTATTTAGGTCAAATTCAACCCCTTTAATACATTTAAAGCTTTCCAAACTTCTCCCTTGAGCAAAACCATGGCTAAGGAGCTCTATTCTCTCATAATTAACCCTAGATTCAATCTAAGCCGTCCATCATAGGGTTAGGAGTATAAATAGGAACTTAAGGCTTCTTTAAAAGGGACCTTTGCATTTTTTTTTCCTGAACCAAGCCCCCTTTGCTCGAGAGCTTTTGTGTGAGAGCCCTCCTAGATTCCCTCTATCTCTCCCAGGTCAAATCCCACCGGCCAACCCCCACTGGCGGCGAGTTTCCAGCGACATGAAGCCCAAATTCGTTAAAACTCCATATCTCCAGATCTAGAGCATTTTGAATTGTGACTCAACTAAGGAAGTGTACGACGACAGTCTACAAGCTCAGAGAATCCATTATTTTCAAGATCCAACGGTATAATTTCTTAAAAACTCTTATCCTATGTCACTACACTTAGATCAATATAGCTTTTCATAAATTGCATTTCAGACATGAAAAGCATCCGCCACGATTTTTGTTCACCTAGGCTACCTAGGTTTAAAATTTCATTGGATTTGGTTAGCTGAATCGAGAGAACGAGACGATAAACCCAATCTAGGGTTATTTCGTAACGTGTCCTATGGGTACATTTTATGGACCATTGAACGCACAATCAATGGTCCAGATCGAACCATTCTGCGGCTTCCATTCAACAGCGGATCTGATCCCGCAGTCAATGGCTTCGTCCGGCTTGATCAGAGCCCTTAATCTCAAACTGCGCTTGATCATACAACAAACGGTAGTTGTTGACGTGGATAAGTGAATCCGCGTTCGTCGCCGCTGTTATATGCCATTAATGGCCAATGGTTGTCACAGCGTAATCATTGGCCATTGATTTCCCCACTGCGCCAATCATTACCCGTGATTTCTAGGAGCCAATTTGGGCTTGGCACGTGGCCTCCGTCCTCGGCGTCGTGACCTAATTTTAGTTAAAATAAGTATTATAATTATTTATTTAGCTTTTGGGCTAAATGTAAAAACAAGCATTATAATTATTTTAAAACTTATTTTTAATTAGAAAATTTCCAAAATTAATTTAAAAATATTTTAAAACCCAAAAATTACTTTCAATGGTTATCTTATTCTTCCACCAATGCAAGATTTGGGTTATGCAAATTTGCAAAGTCTTAAGATTTTTTATATCTTAATATATTGTTTAAAAACTCTATTGTAGAAATGTGTAAATCCAAAATTTCTAAGATTTTATCCATTAAATTTCTTAGGATTTTTATAATATCCATTTTTCCCATTGTTTTGATGGTGTAATGCTAATAAATTTTTTAAGGTGATATCTATTAGCTTGCAAAATATTTTTCTAAAAGAATAAGATATGAATTTAATATGAAGAGGTATGTTACTCATTACTTTATGTCTTTAATTTTCAAAAAATATATATATTGCATTATTTTATACATTTGATAATTGTTTATTTTGTCATATGTTTTAATTCATTTTCTTTTGTTCTATTCATTTTTTAATAGTTTCACATGCTAGAAAAAAAGAACTGAAGATGGTATGCATTCCTCAATGCCCAACTCACAATAGAGGCTAGATAATAGGTATGCATTCCTCCCCATTGCAATATCGTTTGGTCATCTTGTGTGGGAACTGAGAGTCGCGGGATAGCCAGACCACCTCGTGCGGGAACCTAGTGTTGCAAGGTGTGTCGCTTAGTGATGTTGTTGCTATTATAATCACTCTCCATTTATTAGGTTAGTTATAAATCCCACTTAAGTTATTTATGAAATATTTGTTTATATTTTATAAACATAATTGGCATCAAGTTTGTATTATCTGTATTTATTTATGTTTTATAGACTTAATTGATGCTCATGTAATATGAAACTATGCTATTATTGAAGCAAATCAATCTTATAAGCTAATGTGGAGGTCAATACAATTGTTATGTTGTAGTACTAGCCTATTTTGAGTTGTCACATATGTTTAATTAATGTCAAAATAGTGATGGTCAATCATTTCAAAAATTTTTACACAAAATTATTTCTTAACAAAAACAACAAGCCTTTATCCCACTAAAATGTGGGGTCGTCTACATGAATCCCTTTTCTTCATTGTGTCATGTTAAGGGTCAAATTCTCATATAAATCTAATAAAGAAAGGTCATTTCTAATATCTTCTAACCAAGTCTTTTTAGGTCTACCTCTACCTTTTTTAACATAAGTCAAATCTAATACATCTACTTTCCTAACCGTGTCATCGAAAGGCCGCCGTTTGATGTGACCAAACCATCTAATGCGACTCTCGATCTCTAATCTTATCTTCCACATTGAGCTACTTTAACCTTTTCACGTATATGCTCATTTCATATCCTGTCTTTAAGAGTAAAGCCACTCATTGACCTGAGAAACCTTATCTCCGTAACACTTAACTTAATATTATGCTTCTATTTTAAATCCCAACATTCAGCACCATAAAGCATTATAGGTTTCACTACAATCTTATAGAATTTTATATTAAGTTTTAGAGGGACTTTTCTATCACCTAACAAGCTTCATGCATTCCTCCATTTTAACCATCCAACTTGAATTATACTAATAATATACCCATATATTTCACCGCCACTTTGAACATAGATCCAAGACATCTAAAACATGTCCTATTATTAATGGCGCTTGATAGCCTAAAGTCACAATCCCTCCGCTAGATCTATTATTACTACATTTATACTCCATATATTCAGTTTTAGATCTACTCAAATGAAAGCCTTTAGACTCTAAGGTTGACCTCCATAATTCAAGTTTACCTTCAACTCCCTCTCTAGTCTTATCAACAAGAAGAATATCATCAACAAAAAACATACACCAAGGTACATCGTCTTGCAATTTTAGTATTCAAAATAGTATTAAAAGGTTTAGTAAGCTAAAAAATTCCTTCATCTCCTAAGAATTTCCACAATCCTTTTAGAATATCATCAAGTCCAACAGCTTTTTCACACTTCATTTTCTTTAGAGCCACTTTAACTTTGATTTTACTAATACACTGATAAAAACATAAATCTTTATTTTCAATTACGATGCTAAGGTTACTAAAGTCAATCACATTCTCATAATCTTCTTTGAAAAGTTTAGCACAATATTTTATCCACCTTTGTTGAATATACTTTTCTAATAAAATCACTTTTTGATCTCCATCTTTATTACACTTCACTTGAATTAAATCATTACTACCCATATCTCTTTATTTAGCTAACTTACACATATTTCTTTCACTATCCTTAGTATCTAATATAATATATAAATCATTAAAAGCTAAAATATTTTCATTGCAAATTGCTTTTATAGACTCCTTACGAGCCTCTTTATATCTTTCTCAATTATCAGAATTTTTATAATTAAACAAATTTTCTTATTTTTTATCTTTTCTTGTATATTTTGATTCCACCACCAAATATTTTTATTATTAATAGATTTTTTCTTTGACACTCTAAAAATATTTTTTGTAACATTTTTAATATTACTAGCTATTTTTTTCAACATAACATTAACTTCCTCATACACAGACAAAATTTTAAAATCTAGAATCTTACTCTCAAAAATATTTTTGTTAATATTGTTTAAATGCCCTCATCTAATCATAGAATAACTATTTACTTTATTTTTAATTTTATACCCTTTCATCTTAAAGTCCAAAAATCTAAGAAGCGATTTTGGGTACATAAACTTTCACTCGAAATAATTTTTCTAAATGATCTATTTCTTTATAAGAAAAGAATCAATCTAAGTTTTACTATATCCATTTTTATAAGTGATGAGATACTCATTTTTTCTAAATAAAGTATTGGCAATTACAAAATCATAAACTAAAAAAAAAATTCTAATATGATCATTCCATATTCATTAGTCGTTTCAAAGCCATAGCCATCATGAATGCTTTTAAAATCATATACCTCTCTACCAACAAGTTTATTTAAATATCCTCCAATGAAAACTTGTTTTTTGAGAGGTATCATTTGTATTAATTCTTCTAGGTCATTCCAAAATTTTAATTTTGAACACTTATCCAAACCTACTTGATGAGCATAAGCGCTTATAATATTTATAATATTAGTATCAACAATATTAGTTAAAATTATAATTCTATCTCAAATTCTATTAATTTTTACAATATTATCCTTCAAATTTTTATCTATAATCACACATACATCATTTCTAGTACGGCTCTTACAAGAATGCCATAATTTAAATCTTAAACTATCAATCTTATTAGCATTCTCTCAAATTCATTTATTTTCTTGAATGTAAAGAATATTAATCTTCATATGGATCATAATATCTATTAACTCTATTAATTTGCCTGTAAGGGAACCTATATTTCAAATTTCTATCCTAATTTTTATTTTCATGGACTAGCTTCTTTGCCCACATCTGTCAATGATGTGGGGAACCCTTGCCTATTTAAAACTATACTCGAGCGCCGGTGCAACGATATTTGCTCATTTGTTGTTGTATTCATGCTATATAACACGTCATTTCCTGGGAACGCCCAAACATTAACATAATGTATTAAATGATTAATATCATGATTATTCGATAAATTTTAGGCTGACTTTCGACTTCTTAATGTAACCCTCAACTTTTCTTATCGAGGACTTTGGACCTAACAATGACAATATTACAAAATTATTTCTTAAATTTAAACAAATTATAAGAAATGCAAAGAGATTATTTTAGAAATATTTAAGTGATCTGATTAGTTTGATATAAAATAAAACTTAAAAGTGAAGATAATATGTTTTAATGAAATTCATAAGTTATAGGATATTAAATAGCTGCGAAAATAAAGTTAATTTTATTAATTTTTAATAAATTATTATTTATTAACCATCAGCTTCGATTCCATTGGACTGATAGTCCGGTCCGATTTTGACAAACTTGAGGAGAACTATTTACAAAATGCAGTCGGTACATTTTCAGTCGCTTGCATGCTCCACTGTTGCCTGCTAGGCTTCGTCGAGAGAAACCGCAGCGGGATCTCCCATGTCACGCGCCATAAGGATTGACCGTGTTGCTGCCGCCGCCCTTCGTTATAATGTCCGATCTCTCTTCTCCGACAATTCTTTCGCCGCCTCAGTCACTGTGGATGGCGAAGAGACTGGTCTCTATGGCTTCCCAATCCTGAAGACAGCCAAGGGTTTTCGAAGGTTCGTGGATGAGGCCATCGAAAGGTAATCTTCCAATTTTATAATGTCTCAAAATCTCAAACACCAATCAAGTTCTTGTGGCTGATTACTCTAGATTCCTGTTCCAGTGCGGGGGAGCTCGCCTCCCGTATTTCGCAGATGCCACCCTCGGAAGAAGTCATCAATGCCATGGATGAGATCTCTAACACCGTACGATTCTCCATTTCGTCTTGCATTAATAATTTTAGCACTTCGGCTCCCGGAGCGGCCTAAGGATGTTGTTGCTGTGCAGGTTTGCTCCGTCATTGATTCGGCGGAGCTCTGCAGGAACACCCATCCCGATAGGTAATCCACTGCCTTCTATTAGTTTTGTGGTAGTTGAACCTTTAGTTTCTTTTATTTATTTTGGTTAGAACGACTAGTTTCTAAAACAGCAGTTTATCCCATTTTGGACAACTAATGATTGTTTTATGATGGTGTTCTCTGAAACTCAAACAATGCTACTATGATTTCTTTTGAAACCTGACAGAACCAGTAGGGTTTATCACAAAATGTCTTAAATATTCCTAACCCGGGATATCGTAACAAAGCTATTACTATTACCGAATTTTATAAAAAATTCTAATGGTAGTGCTAGGGCTCCGGGAAAACTTTTACAATGACAGAGTTAGTTGTCCGTATTTGTGAATATTATATCCTTGGTTACAAACTTTTGAAACTGTTGTTCTTTTTTATGAAAAGAGTAAACTAGGAAGAGTTTAATATCAATAAATTTTAATTTCATTTTTATTTTGAACTAGGGTTTTGATTAAATTCTTGTCTTAAGCTCTAGTTTTGCTACCTCTATTGATTTATTGTTGATGCTCATCAATACTGATGTTTTAGGGAGTTTGTTGAGGAAGCAAACAAGGCATCAATGAGGATTTCAGAGTATTTACATGTGAGTTGCACTGTTTTTTGAATTCATTGCTATGTACGTGTTACACTATTACCATGTGCTATCTAGCTCTCTATTTTATTTGCATGAGCTTTTAAACAGTGTTGGTTCTGGCGTGCAAGCATTTCAATGGTGTTCTTTTTTTTTTTCTGTGAAAGTTGAGGTCACATCTAGCCAATTTCAGCCAAATAATCATAAGTATAGAACTATAACATTTATTTCATGAAATATTTTCCAAAAAAAAAAAATACTGATAACTATAATTTGTAATTTCTCCATCAATAAGCAAAAGAAAAATCACTTGCAAGTATGTTGTAAGAAAATCAAAATAAAATATTATTAATTGAGGCTTAGTATCCATCAGGAGTGAAATTTATGGAATCCATCTTAGGAAGCAAGGAAAAATCCTTCCAAGGCCACAAGGTATATAGCAAGGAAATAACAACATGTTGGATGAGTAACCAACACTAGAACCACAGTTGTAGGATTCTCGAGCAGCAGAAAGAAGCAGGCAACCTGGCTTTGTTACATGATAAAAACAAAAAACCTGCAATTGTTGTAGAAAAGAGCAAAAGATCCAATATCCCCTTTTTGATTTTCATAAAGGTGTTGAAAATTATCACTACTTCCAGCAAAATAATAGGAAATGTTAATCATTACGATCTCAAAACAGCCACCAGACTCTAGAACAGTTAACCCAACATAAAAGAAGAATGATGAAAATAGTGCTAACCATGTTATATTCATCTGAAATATATACTAATGATATTATAAGGTATAATGCTATTAATTTCCTTTTTCTGCATTTAAGCCGGATGGCAAAGAAAATTCTTTCCTTAACAATCCCAAAGTTAGATCTTTCTCCACAAGAAATGATGTTGTTTCTGTCCCTTCAAATGTAGAAAGCAAGTATATGCATGGACGGGAGAAAGAACTTTCTAGTCATCTTGCAAGTAATATTATCAGCATGAAACAACACTTCTTTAAAGGTGCAGCCCATATGAAAGTAATTGCAATAAGGAATACACTAATCTAAGAGGTTAAAGGAGACTGGGCACTCAAAGAAAGTAATTGCAATAAGGGATGCACTAGTTTAAGAGGTTAATGGAGATGGGGCACTCAAATAATAGGCGCACATGAGCTTTAGAGTTAAAATCACATAACACAATTTTTTGTTGATATTAAGGCTGCTGTTATTAATTTTTTTTAGTTTAAAGCCCCTTTATTTGGATTTTTTATGTAATACTTAAAAAGAAACTTTAAACCAAATAAAATTTTCCCAACTTATCGAAAAGAAATAATGGTGAAGTGATTTGTAAACCCGTTTTTGAGAAAAAAACCTATTTGTCCAGTCATCCATAGGTAATAGAATAGCCTCCAATAAGCGTAGCATGAATATGAGGCTAGGCATTGTTAGTTAATAGATTAGCATTAGATAGGTAAGCAACATCCTCCAATAGCAATGAAATCTCTGACTTTGGCATAATGGGGTAATTGAATTATGAGAGACAATATCACCATATGTATCATAAAAGAGGAACCAAAGATCTAAGGATCATGAAAGAAGGATAAATAGCTCCAATATTAATTCTAAGTGAAAGCTCCCTTTTAATTTTGAAAATAGTATTATGTATGGATTTCTAGATAGTAGAAGCTTGAAGTGAGGGTTCTTTTCATAAATGTTCATAGTAGTCAAACACCATGAGAGATATAAATTCTCTAAATCATCTTGGACTTGCACATTATGTTGAGAGTATCAAAAGAAGGGATCCCAAGGCCACTTTATCAATTTGGTTGGGTAGTTGTTTTCTAAGAGACGTTATGCATTTTTTTGTCCTCACCATTATGGTAAAGAAAATTTTGAATTATGCTTGAAATCTTTTTTTGGTTCCCTTTGGACAAAACAGTGGAATGAAAACAATAAGCCAGATAATTCAAAATAATAAATTTATCGAGTTGTAACCTCCATGCAAATGAAAGATGTTTTTGCTACCAACCCTCCTAATATTGTTCAACTCTAGAAATAATTTTGAAGTAATCCATAGTTTTTTTTTTTATAATAAATGATCATGGGGCCAAGATAATCCCAAGGTAGCTGTTTAAGATTTAAGTCAATTCATTCAGATAGTCTTACCTCATCCACTCTATGAAGATCGGTGCTCGTGCCCTAAAGCAATTAATTCAAAATAGATTTAAGATAGTCATGATGCTAAGATCAGATTTGCCAAAAATAAGCAACTCATCATTAAATATGAGATGAGTCAGCTTAGTCTTATTAATATTGATAGCAGTGAAATCTCTACTAGCATACCTAGCATCCATCAATTTTGAAATGCTATTTATAAAATAGCAAAGAAGAAAGGGATAGAGGGCATTTCTGTCTAAGCCCAAAGATAGAAGTGAAGAAACCTCTAATCTCACCATTGATTGGCAATTAGAAATGCACATCAGGGGTAAATGCTACAATCTAGTTTATAAAGGTGATCAAAAAATAAGGAGCATGTAATCTATAATAAAGAGCTTCCTAATTCACACTGTCAAATGCTTTATTAAAAAAATAATTTTAGCACAAAATAAGTTTGCGGCATTGTGAGAATTGAAGTGTCTTAGAATCTCATTTTCTAAAAGAGTATTTTTAGCAATATCTCTACCAAAGGTAAAAGGCATATTAGGCAGTATGAATAATTTTTTGGAAGAACTTGTATAAGTCTACTGCATAAGCTTTGCAATGACTTTGTAAATAGTGTTACAAAAAGATATAGGCCATAATTATTGATGGTTGGTGTGTTTTTGAGGATAAGAGTGATGGTTGAATGATTAATGCTTTTAGGAAGTTTAGTCGATGAAAAAAAAAAAAATGCATTGCCATCACAAGACCTTCTTTAGTTATATTCTAAATATACTTAAAAATTTTAAAGGTAATATCATCAGTTTTAGGGCTTTTATCATTACCATCGCTGAAAAGAGCAAGTTTAATCTCATCATCAGTGAAATAACTTGTTAACATATTGCAATCATCCCTAGAAAGCTAATTGCCAATAGGCAAAATAAGAGGATCATCCAAAAGGAGAGCATTTTTGAGAAGAGAGGAATAATGCTTGATGGCTTTATTTACAATCCCCACATAAGAGGAAGTGTATCTAGAATTAGTTAATAACTCCCTAATCTGATTCATATTCCTCCTAATTTTGATTTTTTATAAAGAAATTTTATGTCTTCCTCACCTTTAGAATGCGAGAAGCAATTGGCATGCTGTTTAACTCAAGAGTTTTCATATTCATTGATAGTGTGTGGGCTCCAAAAATTAGGTCCCGGTTTCTCCCACTATGCTTTTCTTTGGGGAGAGTTTAAACAGATTAATTTCGTGTGTAGATTTTGGAGGGCAGATGGGTTTGTAGATAAGACATTACCAAGAGATTTCACCCTCATTTTGCGAGGACTTTATGATATGAGTTCTGGTTTCCTGTAGGCATAAGCCCCTATAGCTAATTACCCCTCCCGGTCACGAGAGAGAACTTTCGATTAAGGCTAGTCGTCGATTAGATACGTAGAAATACGTGGTATCTGGCATATAATAGCAGCATGGGTTTTGGGTATTGAAGAGTTTGATATTTAAAATTTGAAATTTTACTACCTTGCACAATGTATATTTGTACCATCAAGCCAAGGCCTTCTCCTAAGGAAGGATTCATTTGTAATCGACTGTAAATACTAGTGGATTCATTAAAATTGGGTAAAGCGGATGATGGGAGAATAGATGATGGACCTGATCAAGATCCCATGGTTCCATCGTCCCGGGACATCGTGGTCCATAGTATACTTAGTTAGAGGAGGTAGTCGACCCAACTTGGCAAAAAGATCCTTGTTGGCAGCCATATGTTGCTTCGTCCAAAAGTACCTTGTAGACTTGGGGTGAATGTTTGTCTAAGGGGACAAATTTGAATCCACCTTAGCTAAGAGAGGGCTTTGTGTCCTATCAATCATATCCTGTTAATTCATATCTCAAGGATTTGATGCCACTAATGAACGTATTGGCTCTGGTTATAACCATAATTTAATGGTGCCATTTGGCGGCAGTACCACTCGGTTTAGAGGTCCCTGGGTCATAACCGTTTACTTCCCATGCCATTTGGCGGCAAAACTGCCGGTCAGAGGACACATACCACATACTTACTAACAGTAGATTGTTTTGAGAATGAATTTTAGTGATATTCTTGACCAGACATTAACTCTTTGTGAGCCGAAGTAAATTTAAATTTGTCCATCCTGACAAACTGTTGCGGATGGTGGATGAGTTTTGCTTTAAGTGATTGATGAATTATTTCAATCTTATTTTTTTTGGATTTTGGATGATCTTTGAGATTTTGAATTGTGGGTACTTGGGGTGGCATTTTGAAGTATTTGGAATTAACCCATCCGGTTGAGATCTGCATTCAACACGGAAATTATTGGGGTGTCTTTGCATTTTCATTTGTGGATTGAACCTTGTAGACTCGGTCGAGCTGTCGACGGAGGATTGAGTTTCGTAGGCTTTGTGCTTTTGTTGATGAAATTTCTTTGTTGGAGGCCTTGAAGGCCTTATATGAACGTATAAAACAGATATTCCAGTAGACACCCTGATCGTATATCTGTTTGATAGTTCGAGCCGTGTCGACTCCTATCTATTCATATAGAAGGATCGGGCTCGAACTATATTCATTTATTAATTCGCGCAGCATTCCTAGACGTCATGTGCGTTTCTACAACATGCTCGCTGGGGCCCATGCAGGTTTTGTGATTGCATTTCCCCCTTTTATGTACCTATGTGTATACAAATTACGGTGCATGTGCGGGGGTACTTTGAAATATTTATAAATGCATTCTGTCCGTTTTCATGAATATTCCGGATGCGGTGGCATGGCATAGTAGCTTATGAATTGACTTATTAGCTGCTTTATGCATGTAGACTGTTGTGCACTACTTATTGATTTATGCAGGTGGATTGTAGTGCACTAACGAATCTCCTGCTTTGGTTTTGTAGATGTTGCACTTATCACGAGCTTCTATGATGGCTTGTAGATGATATTTTACATGAAAGGCTTCCTACGACGATTTGTAGGTATTTGAATTTGCTACAAATCATCTACTTCTTCCTACAGAGGACCAATGTATTTGAATTATGTCAAGTGGTGGCTTGTTATAAGTATAATCTAGTATCCATTACACATTATTCGTCGTCAACTGTGAGTGGACTGTTCTATGAATGAGAACTCCCTTACATTTTCTTGTGGACAACATTAGTTGTACGACATAACAAGCTTTTGTAGTAGTTCATGGGAGCTTGCATATGTAACACATTCTCCACCTTTGCTTGTAGGGTGTTGGGGGGGGGGGGGGGGGGGTGTGTTTTTTTTTTTACACCCAATCAATATCTCATGGTTACATCATCCTGAGTATGCCTTGTATGATGCATTCGTATAAATGAATCATCATAATCATTGCATGTCGGCCCTCATTGCCCACAAAGAATTATTACATTCTTCCACGAGGGGTTGATTTTGATTGTAAGGGACTTTCACATCTTCTTGCATGGTTCTCGTAAATTCCACACCCATCAAAATCAAGTGACATTGGTTGTATGAGAATTATATTTTCTTTGACCTTTTGAATACACCTTTCATCAACAATTTATCGTATGTTAAATCCCTTTGTTGCTTGTAAATGTTGGCTAGCGAGGTATCATAATGCTCGTTATATATGAACTTCCTTCACTTGCGAGGGACTTGTGCATTTGCTGAATATTTGGTTGGTAAGGACGTCTTTATAGTCACTGTATGCCTACTGTCATCATTTGCAAGAGTTTAGTGCACTTGTATGTAGCTAAGAAGTGTCGTCTGTTTGTAGACTACTACATTTGCTACACATCTTTCATGCTCCATATGTAAGTATATCGCTATGTATTTTCTTGTTACAACTCACATGTAGCTCATTATATATATTGTAGATCCTTTGTCTTCGAATATGATATTTGTAATATGCATAATAAATCTGACAATCTTCCTTGTTAGTATTTGTATCTCAAGCAACATGAAGACTTTTAATATTTGCAGGAATGTTCATGTTCTCGATCGTCGTCATTTGTAGGAGTCGAGAGTATTTATTTACAGTTTACACATAAGCAATGTCAGTTGTGTACGAGCCTCTATGTTCTATTCATGAACACACTAAGACATTATTGTGATCAAGTTGTTTCCCCTCGATGTCCGCAAGCGATGTTGTATACTCATTACAAGTCTTCCTTTTCATACAAGCGCATTGTTTTACTTATGCAAGCATCGTACTCTTGCTTATAATCACATGTAGGCAGTCGTGGTTCCTGTGCACATATTGTTCCTTGCATAAAATAATCTCCTTACTTATTTATTTGCATCCATTTGAGTAAATGAGCCTATCAGTTAATATTTGTATCTTTAACTTGATTGTATGTTCATTGGTTTAAAGTCTGGTCCCTTGGAGTTCATTGTTCAAATCAAGTTCATAGGTCCCCTATATCACTTTCAAGTTCAAGCTCCTTGTTGTTCAATTCAAGTTCAAAGAAAATCCTCCATTATTACTCGATTTAGTTCAACTCAAGTTCAGTTTGAGTCAAGTTCTTTGTTATGTTGTTCAAGTCCAGTTCATGCTTGAGTTCCTTGTGGTCTTCTTGAGTTCAAACTCAATTCACGTTCAAGTCTTTTGTGGTTCATTTAAGTTCTAGTTTAGGTTCACGTTAAGTTTATTTATTATTTGAATTGAATTAAAGTCCTTTGCATTCGCTCTAAAGTTTCGTGCTGTCCAAATTAGGCTCATAAGTCCCCTGTAGTTTTTGTTCAATTCAAGCCAAGTATAGTCCCTTGTCAGTACAGATTTCGGCAGCCTCCCGACGTCTCCCCTCGTTTAGGGGAAACTATGAAAAATTGGGCCTTCCCACCACGCACAATAAACGGCGTGTATGGTAGGTGTCCATAGACACCGTGACCATGTCTTCATTCTCACAACGCTAATAAAAGTGTGTATGGGGTCTTTGATGGTACCTGCTTTAAAAGACGGTTGGCTTTCCCCTCGCTTCAGGGTACTTATAAGTAACCCCGCCTCGCCGTAGGTGTTGCACCGGGTTCCCATCCCACCACGCGCAATAAAGGCGTGCATAGGAGATTTTCTGGTGCGCCGCAAACGCCGAAATGGGGTTAGGTGATTACCCGTCTCATTGCGAGCACCGCGACACATTTCTTCCCACCACGCTAACAAAAGCGTGTATAGGTGGTCGTTTTGTCACGCCGCAAGCTTTGAGGTGGGCTCTCAGAATTTCAAGGTTAAGGGATTATACCTTGGTGACCGGCGAGGGTGTTGACACATAAATCAAGGCAAGAGAGGAGAGATCTCTTTTCGTTATTTTTACTATTAATTATAATTAATCATAATTGAAAATAATTAATTATAATTAAGCATGCTTAAATAATTAATTAATTTTCCCTTAATACATTCAATACAAAATCTAAAATCTGTATAATCAAGGGAATCTAGAATTCCATCTGACACAAGCCTTTCAATTCTTTATTTAGAAATATGTCCAAAGCGCTTGTGCCATAACATAAAGAAATTCTCATTAATCAATTTTCTCTTTATACCAAAATTATTTATATGCAAAGTTTCATTTATCTGTGAGGCAGAAATATCTAATTTATATAGATTATCAATCAAAAAACATGTACCAATGAATTTTGAATACTGAAAGAGACTAAATTTTTTATTTCCAAATGAACAAGAATAACCAGATTTGTCCAAACATGAAATAAAAATAAGATTCTGTCTAAATGATGGTACATAAAAAGTCTCACACAAATCCAAAGTACAACTAGATTCTAAGTACAATCTATATAAGCCTACAGCTTTAACAGGAGATTTTTTGCCATTTCCCACATAGATGAATCTTTCATCATCAGTTGGCACTCTGCTCTTTAGACAACCCTGTATAGTCACACTTATATGAGTAGTTGCACTTGTATCTATCCACCAAGTGTGATTTGGTACTAAAGCCAAATTAACTTCAAAACAAACAAAATTCAAAAGTTTACCCTTTTTGACGAGCCAGTTAGCATATTTTGGACAATCATTCTTCACATGACCAACCTTCTTACAGAAGAAACAAGTAATAACTTGATCTTGCTTCTTTTGCACTTTAGGTTGTGAAGTCCCTTTATCTACAGCTCTTTTAACATTATAATCCCTTTTCCTTTTGGTAGCAAAATCATGAGAGGAAGAAGCCAAGTGAGCACTTTCCATTTTTTCTTGTTTCAATTTTTCTTCCTCTTACACACACTGAGCAATGAGCTCATTAAGAGCCCATTTTTTCTTCTGAGTATTGTAAGTAATCTTAAAAGGACAGAATTGTGCAGGAAGAGAGATTAAAACTAGATGCACAAGAATGTCATCAGACAATTCTAACTTTAATGCTCTTAGTCTTGTAACAAGATTAAACATTTTCATAATGTACTCTCTTATATTCCCTTTGCCTTTATACCGCATTGAAACAAGTTTACTAAGAATAGTGCTTATTTCGACCTTTTCAGAGCCTACGAAACGGTCTGCTATTTGGCTTAGGAATTTCTTAGCATTTTCCTCCTCAGGCATTGCACCCCTGATGATATCTAAAATTGAGTGTTTCATGATCATTAGACTCATACGGTTTGAACGCTCCCACTTTTCAAAATTTGCCCTTTGTTCAATAGTGCTTTCCTCAGTAAGGGCAGGAGGGCGTTCAGTCCGAATCGCATAGTCTAGATCCATATACCCAAGAACAATAGTAATGTGATCTTTCCATTTCTTAAAATTAGAGCCATTAAGCACTAGAATGTTATTCAAATTGGCAGATATAGAAGAAACATTAACTGAAAAAGAACAAAATTAACTCACAATTAGCAACAGTATATGGTGGGCCCTTTATAAGATACATAACACAACATCATAATTTAGTCTTTGGACAAAAATTATAATTTGTAAATGGTACTCTTAAATTATAGTAAATAAATATTGATAATAAATTCTGTCAATAATAAGCCTTTCTTTGGACCGACTTACTATATGCATGAATAATTTAAATTATCACATATTTATAACTATATCTTTAGAGTCCGGCCAAAAATAATCTTCCTTTGGGCTGATTAATTTTTGCATAGACTAGAAAAATTCCTTAGCATTATTCAATTAATTTTAAATTAAATAAATTGATTTAATAGAGGTCACTTTGATGACATATTATTTCAATTTAATTTAATTCTGAATTAATGAATAATTATATTAATAAAAAAATTCACAACCATTACATCAATTCACATACAATGGAAAAGTAACCCAACAGAACTTAATCCATTGAAAACAAATACTATATAGTGAAGATGATTAAATGTAAGAAATTAATATATAATAAAATTTCTAATGAGTACTGTACGTGATGTCATTCATAATATTAAAGGACCATTAATGCTTTATGTCCTTTTATGGAAAATAATAAGAGTACACTTGCAGTTACATAAACTTTATATAATTTGACAGTTTCAAATTATGATGGAAAGTGAACTAAATGATTCCATTCAAACAAAGCAACGGTTCACAAATATTGTGTCGTTTCGTATTATAATAACTGCAAATTAAAAAAAAAATAACTGTTCGTTCATCTTCTTCTATCGTCTTCAAAGAAAAACGAATAACAAATTTGATAATGAACCGTTAACAATTAACAAACGACTGAATTGTTATTCATATAAAAGTTTCTGAATTTCTCAAAACTTATTAAATAACATAAATAAAATAGTCTTGAAAATTACGGCAATAAATTTATGCTGAGAAATCAGAATCTCTGCATATGAAAACTCTCAAACGAAGATCGCTAGTGACCAAAAAACTCAACTAGTCAATAACATGATTATAGAAAATCATTTCTCGTTAATTTAACATGACAACCGGGCTCTTATACCACTTGTTAGGATTTCATGGAGATGAAAAAATAATTCGATCATCTCCGAAACACATGCCAAATCTTCGAGGAGAATTTTCGGAAGCATACCTGAATCCATTGAAATGCAGAATTAAGGTTTTCGGTCTTCCACGTTTAGAGCGGCGTTCTCCAAGAGAGCGAGAGACCCCTTCTTTTCACTCAAGATGAGAAATGAGAGAAATCAGAACTCCTCCGCTTAAACTGGGGACCACGACCTTTTATACTTTAAGTGTATTTCTTTTATTTCAGCCCATCATTAAACTAAAATAAATACCCGGCCTCTACACAAATTAATTTCATACAAAATTTAATTGAGATGCCACATAAGCCAAATAATTATTTAATACTTAAATAGATCACGAATTTAATTGGCTTAATTTCAGATAGCGTATAATGTATAATACTTTATTTATATGTATAAGTATATGAGCCCACTTATAGAAATTTTCCAACAACCCAATCATGAAGTCTCTGAGTAGCTAAAGCTTATAAGTACAATAGATTGTCCTTCCCCTGCAATTGTAAAAGGCAATGGGGAATTACCATTGTTGCGGGCTAGAATATACGCGGCGATAGAGTTATAATTTTACGTCTTAGCGTTGCACGGATATCCAGCACACACACAGAGAACATTTTATTACATATACTTTCGTATATATATGTCAAAATTGTTCAATAGAAGTATCATTTTTACTTAAATAGATGATTATCAGTCATAAGCAGTTCAAAAAGATTCAAATATATATATTTTCGGACTATATAAGCTTTCACGTCCGAAAATAGGGGGGCAACTTATACGTTACCAAAAAAATAAGCTTGATCCAGCACGAATCTTGAGGAAAAATAGAGTTGGAAATTTTCAAAAATTAAATCTGGAAGCACCTGAACAACAATTTCAGCGAGCTTATAGTCAAACCGAGCGTCTCGGAAATACGTATCTAACGACACCAAATTCAACCCAATCCGAGCCCAAATGGATCCAAATCAAGGACCCGAAGCGCTGTTGGAAGGTTCGAATCACAATTTGAGTTACCAAACGATCTCCGATTTTAACGAGCTTGTACTCGAATCGAACGGCTCGACGAGAAAAATCCAACGAGCCGAAGATCGTTGAATTCTGACATCACTAAGGCCTTCAAATGTCCAACAAACGGTGCATGATCACGAGATTCAATATCGGCCATCCATTCAGCCACTCCCTATTTTCCCCTGATCTCACACCTATTTACAAGCTATGCCACTCCAGAAAATCTATAAATAGACCCCTCATTCCTCATGAAAGGGGGGAGAAGCCAAGATAGAAGAAGGAAGAGAAAGAAGAAAGCTCCTGCCGCCTAGCTCCTCCTCGACCACCGCCGGAGTGCTGCCGCACCACTGCCGTAGTCTTGCCGCACTACCACTAGACCACCAAGGGACGCCGTAGTGCTGCCGCACCACAGACGTAGTCTTCCCGCACCACCGCCGGACCACCAAGGGACGTCGGAGTGCTGCCGCACCACCATCGTAGTCTTGCCGCACCACCGCCGGACCACCAAGGGACGCCAGAGTGCTGCCGCAACACCGCCGTAGTTTTATCGCACCACCGACGGACCACCAAGGGACGCCGAATTGCCATCCGAAGCTGAAGTATCCCCTAACACTAAAGTGCCACTACCGATCCACCGCATGACATCGGAGTGCCGCCGGACCACCACTTGACAGTGGAGTGACGTTGGACTTTTGTAAAACTCTCAGTTGATATTTGTAATCTAGTCGAGGACAAAATCAGACCATTATACTTTCTTCAAATTTTAGTGGAATCATCTTCAACTGGGCTAGGCCCCGTGGTATTTTCCCTTTCCGGGTTTTCCACGTAAAAAATATTGTGTTCTCTGATGAATGCTACACCCTCTCTTTTTGTGTGTGTGTGCTAGATCTTCGTACAATGCTAAGACGTTAAATCATATATTTCTCTACCGCCGCGAATACTCTAGGACGCAACAACCATAAAGAATTTTCCCAATAAGAAACTCTATAGAACTCTATAGTTAAAATTGATCATCCTTTCTCATAACTGAAGCATGTGTTGATATAATATAAGGACATAATCTAGGATAAATTATTACATGTGGTTACTGGATGTCGTCCGGATGCAAATCAAGATGCGCCATGTCATTATTTTGCTGTGTACCACGGCTGTGTATCATGTGACGCGGTGTATCTTAATTTATCTCTGAATGTTCCGGTGACTGCATATTATAATTTCTCCTAATCTAGGGGTAAAGTTCACTGTTTTTGAAGAAGATTGGAAGTCAAATATGTAGGTGGCAAAAGGTCGTAAGTGGCAGCCTTCCTTTTGGAAGGAAGAATGATTGCTCGACTAGAAAAATGAATAATAAAATGATGGTTTGGCAGATTCCTCTCCTAGAAGGGCAGTTATGAGACCAACTGGTGGCAATTTGATTTGTTGATTAGGAATATTAAGTATCAATTAAGAGATCTTGAATTTGAATCTATGTGATTTTTGAGCTTCATGAACTATTACATTAGAGCCAAAGAAAGTTAAAATACTTTTCTCAGATTATTTCATCACGACAAGAAAAAGGAAAGTCAATAATCTGAACAATTGACAATTCACACTGGACCTGCTTTCATGATTGTTTAGGTAAAAAAAGAGAGGATATTTTTATAAAGAATATTATATCCTTTGCTTTTTCTTCAGGAATATGGAAGTTTTTTTCCTTATATTCTTGACTTGGTGGTTAGGGTTACCATTCTATTGTCTTTAGAAGTAATCTGTGTGCTTTGGGATAGATTATACATTTCTCAACCAACATAATTGCTTGAGAAGACAAAAAAAAAAAATTATATGAGAATATATTGATAGTACTTAATTAAGAAGAGTTTTAAATATTAAAACTATTTAAAAATAAATATTATAGAAAAAATTAGTTAGTTATTTATATATTATATTACAAAAAATTCATACTAATTTTTATTAAATTTTGATCAAGCTATCTTAGTTTAATTTTTATTATTTGTTTGTTATTATAAGCCACCATGATATATTTTCTTTTGGGTTAAATAATTTGAGCAATGATCAGTCTTTTTTAATAGTCAATGGTTTAGAAATTCATATAGATTAGAAAAGGTGGTGTTATTAGGGGTGTCAAAAAATTATTTGAATCATCAGTCCGATTTAAAAAATTTAAGTTTCGATTGATCCATCTAATAAATGGGTTGCCGATTTTTTACCTGAAATGACTATTGTATTTTTTTTTATTTGTTGGTATTATCGTCTTAAGAAAGGTCGATGTAGACCTAAAAGATTTGGTTATTAAATATTAAAAATGATATTTCTTTATTAGATTTAAACGAGAATTTGACTTTTAACATGACACAATGGAGAAAAAAGATTCATGTAGCCGACCTCACGTAGTGGGACAAAATCTTGATGATGATGTTGTCGGTATTATCATCTTAAATTTTTTCAATTAATCTAAAATCTATTGTTAAAAAATTAATTTTTTTAAAAATCAAACTGATTCTCGATTCAAGTTCAGGTCATTTGGGTTGCTAGTGGGTCGTGTACATGTTAATTTGATTTGAGTCTGGTCAATTAAAGATCTAACCTACACCTAAGCCATGGCCTGCTTTGACACCCCCCTAGATGCTATGAGAAATAGTAAGTTATGGAACAAATAAATTTGTCTTTAGACTTTCTGAAAAAAATATCAGATTTCATCATAAACAACAACAATAAACAAATTAATGGGTTTTGGCTGAATCACAATTAGAATATTTATGATAGTATGCGTTTACTCGAATTCAATTAAAATTATTTTAAAAGAGCATTTTATTTGGCCAAATAAATGATTATTATCAAAATCAATAAAAGAATCATATTGTTGTGTTTCTTATAAGTTATTTAAAATTTTATTTATAAGAGTTTTTTTTTTTTAAATTATTTTTAAAATAAATTTTTATTAAAAAAAATAAGAAAATCGCCATAAATAAAATAGAATTTTAAAATTTTTGAATTAAAGTTTTTATAAAATTTATTTGGTTAGATTTGTTGTGGGTTATTTACCACTGCGGCATGCGCAACATCTGTTCACTTAATTCTCTCTCCTCTTGTCCTACGTTGTACGTACGCCTCTTTCCTATCAAACTAGAAAACCCTAATCCGGTCGGCAATCTCCTCCGTGCTTCTGTCCCATTCCTTCTTTCTGTAGAGGCTTAATCCCTTTCCATGGAAGAAGGCACCGACTTCCATGAATGGGAGATGATCCTGAGCTCGAACATCTCAGACAACCTCAAATCCGTCGAAGTCCTTGACGAGGACACTGAGGACGGAGCCATCAAAGCCGACTACTTTTCCCTTAACTCCGGCGGCCGCAGAAGAAAAATTCCGTCGGAGGAGGAAAGTGTTGAGGTTGGTAACGATTCCGATAACCCCAGCTGGGTGGACCCGGATTCTGACTCCAGGTTACTCGAAGGCTCTAGAGGGAAGCTAGGTTTTGTTGGAATGAAGCTCCCGGTAGGGAATTCCAATTGTTTTTGGTCAGATGAATCTTCTGATGGGCAGAGATCCCTGCCTGATAGCGAAAAGATGGAGCTTGGGAACTTAGGGGATTCGGTTATGGAAACGGCTTCTGAAGAAACAGATGATATGTGTGAGAATCAGGGAGGACAAAGTCAGGGAAATGAGAATTCTGGTGCGCAAGAGATGATACCTGTGCATGTTTGTGCTGATTCTAGCGGGGGTGAGAAGAGGGAGAATGTTTGGTGGAAGATGCCTTTGGAGTTGCTGAAGTTTTGCATTTTCAGGGTAAGGCCTGCTTGGTCGATATCCATAGCTGCGGCTATGGTTGGGATTATTATGCTGGGGAGGAAACTGTATAGGTTGAAGCAGAAGAGCCGGATCATTCCCCTGAAAATTGCTATTGATGACAAGGTGAACCAAGCATTAAATTTTTTATTGATTGCATTCTATTTTTCAAACGGAGCCTTTTTTTTACTGTTGTATTGCTTAGGAAATAATTATACATTTGGGACACGTCAAAGATTTACATTCAATGATTTGGGTAAAAAATAATATCGTAGTAATGCAAATCTATTATTAATGTGATCAGAGTTTTTAATTAAACTTCAATCAGTTTTTTAGTTTTATCATGTTCTTGAATCTTTATTTTGTTAATGGTAGCCTTTTTCTGAAATTTCATTTGAACCTGTTTGAAGTTTAGCTTACTTTAAAATTAATTTTCAAACTTTGAGTTTACCCATAAATTGCATGAAATATAATTAGTATCATTAAAATCTTCTCCAAATCATTGCAAATGCGATAAAACCTTACTCCTAATTCCAATCAACACTGAAGTTGCTAGTATGCCTATGAAACTTCAATTTTTAAACATTTTACTTCAATTCTTAAAATCTGTGTGGTCATTGAGAAAATGATCAAAATGGTCCATCAACTCTTTGTGAGAACCAAAATGGCCCCAACTATTTGAGGGAATAAATTGGTCCCTCAAATCCTCCAAATGAGATCTTTTGGTCCTAACATTTAATGTTAAAATTAATGTTGTTAAGTGTGAGGGTAATTTGATCTTTTTTTAAATTAAAATATTTAATAAATATAATTTTTTAGGGATTATAATTTTTGTGAAAAATTTTATTAAACTTTTTTTAATAAAAAAATAGAAATAACTTTAATTTTACTGATTTCACTATTTTTAAAATATTTATGTATGTAACAAGCAACCAAATTTGTCATTTCTTTACAAGCTCTACAATTACACGAAATTAAAAAAAAAACTTTTCATGAACAAAAGATAATACCATAAAGTATGTCCATCCCCCATACAAAAAATCACTAAACAAAAGCAAAAATACATTTAATTAAAGGCTTTTCCATGTCGACACGATAATTGCTTTGGGGTTGAATTTATGGTCAACTTTGCCAATTCTTTCTAGTTTTAAGACACAGAAAATTATGAACTTGTGGCATTAATGACGTGAAGGTTGAACTTTATACAACAACAATAATATCAAGTCTTTATTCCATTATGTGAGGTCGGCTAGATGAATCTTTTTTCTCCATTGTATCTTATTAAAAGTCAAATTCTCATTTAAATTTAATATAAAAAGACATTTCTAATATTTTATAGTCAAGTATTTTTATGTCTACCTCTACATTTCTTAACATAGATCAAATCCAATACATCAACTCTCCAATCTGAGTCATCGAAAGGCAGACATTTTGTGTGTCAGAACAATTTATGGCGGCTCTCTCTAATCTTATCTGCCATTGGAGCTACTCCAACCTTTTGACATGCATACTCATTTTGCATTCTGTCTCTAAGAGTGAAGCCACTCATTCATTTGAGCATCCTCATTTCTGAAACACAACTTATATTTATGCTTTTCTTTTAATGGCCAACATTTTGCAACATACAACATTGCAGGTCTTACCATCATCTTACAAAATTTTCCCGCAAGTTTGAGGGGTACTTTTCTATCATACAACAGACCCGATGCATTCCTCCATTTCAATCATCTAACATGAATTCTACGAATAATATCCGCTTCTATTTCCCCATCACTTTGAACAAGAGACCCAAAATATTTAAAACCTGTACTCTTATAAATGACTTGATCACCCAAAGTCACAATTCCCCTACTAGATCTATACTAAAATTATACGTCATGTATTCAGTTTTTGATCTACTCAAATGAAAACCTTTAGATTCTAAGGTTGAACTTTATATTTTTCAAAAAACAGTTTTTAAACGCCCATTAATGTTGTTTGTTTTTAAGACATGAAGTTATATAATTTAAATTTAGTGTAGTGAGAAAGGATTTATAGGTGACATAGATGTTAAGGTAGTAGAGAGAGATAAGATAACAAAGTAGTTATGTGTGCATTTATTGTATTTAGTCTCCTATACTAGCTTGCATTTATGCTGCCAGCTTCTTGTGCCTTTCTCCATAATGCATTGACATCACTAACATCTTTAGATTTCATATGGATAGAAGCCCAGACAGGCCTCCTTTCTTTTTTTGTTGCAAAGTAGAACCTGAAATTTAGTTAAAATGGAATCAAGTGCTCAACAACATAACTATTTTTTGCATGGGGCAAGTCATTTTTTAAAATAGCATGTGGGCGTGTTTGAAAAATGCCTCGAGCCATACGCCTTAAGATACTTTTGTGAGGCGTACACCTCAATTTGGCTGAGGTGCGTCTCACGTCACCCTATTTATATATATTTTTAATTAAAATTTGCTTAAATGCTAAACTAAAGTCTTGAACAAATCACACCTACACACCAACCCTCGAGCCACAATTGCTTCCTCTCGACGGCTTGACCTCTAGCCTGCTGCCTCTGCCTCAGCCTCCACTGTCGTGCATATTATTTCAGCTTGGGAAGCATTAGACTCCACAAGTGATGAGACAGGGGAAGAGCAATTTGTTGCAATGATGACTCAAATGAAGATCCCCTTAGTGATGACAACTCAGTGGTTTCTAAGTTGTTGTCATATTATTTCAACTATCTTTAGAAATTAAATATGGATGATACGAGAACTGAGAAAGAATGAATTTGGAGTTGAACTTGATGTTATATGATATTTTTATGCAATTTCTATATTTAATGTTGTATTTCTTTTTTGATGTTTGTATTTCATTTCTATTTCACACAATTTTTCAGTTGTCATTTTTTGTCTTATGCAATTTTTTGTTTTATATGTATATCAATTTGTTACTTCATAGTTCAATAGAAAGTTAATATGTCATCCTTTAATATATTATTTGATTATTATACAAAAAAATTCGCTTTTGACATTTTGTTTTTCACTTTATGCAATTTTTGGATTTTGAGGCTTACGTCCTTGTCTTATGGACGGAAAATGCTTCAATACCCAATTGTCCAATTTTAAACTTTGGTGCAAGTTACCCAATTAGTATTTGGGGATGGATCCTATAAAGGTTCCAATTTCTGTAATCTATATTTTATTTAAATATTTGTTGGAGAAAAATCAGCTAGATTAATAATAAGGAGAAAAAGGAAATTGCAAGAGACCTAAATAATAGACATGAAATTTATGTGCTCACTTAATATTCACTCACCCATGTGTACGATCACATTGAGAAAAGAATGCCACTATAGTAGAGTAGGGTACATCAAATTTTTTTACTCAATTTTTTATATTTTGGGAGAATAATAAGGAGCAAACATCAAACTAAGAGATTTGAAGGAGAAGATACTGAAGACATTGAGTTGATGTTTACATCAGTAGGATATTTTCTTTTACTGTTGAACTTGCCTCTACACTACTGTGCTTATTTGCTAAATCACCATGCTTGTTTTGAGCACTGCATTGAAATGTTTCATGATGGCCATAAATGAAAGGCCAGTTAAAATTTTCTATTTTTCTTCTTTCCGTATCTTTCTTTTTTCACTTATTCTCTCTTTCTTCTGCTTCTTCTCACTCTCTTTTCTTTTTCTTATTGTTTTTTGAGTCCTTGGGCCTAATTTTTTTCTTCAGGCAAGTGAAAGAGCCCAAAGCCATCTCTTTATCTTTTTTTTCTAAAGCAGTCAACCACTTTTTATAAACACAAAATATTGTCTCCAATATCCTCTTTAGATTTCTTATTTATAATATTTAAGGAGGTAGCAATTTAAAATAAAATAAGTTCAAATTTAATTTTAAACCAATTTATAAATAACAAAAATTTGAAGTTTGGTAACTACTACATATTTTGTTTATGTGGTTGGCAGTACCACTAGTTTCCTTGAATACATTGTCCAATTGACAACAGGACCACCCAAGCTTTAAACATATCTCTTCATACTTTCTAGAATATTTGATTCGCCACCCATATTAGCATCAGCAGACTCTATATATATATATATGATGCACCGACACTTCTACTCAAAGAGGCGTGCAGTGTCCGACACGACACTCGCCCGACACTCCTCCGACACTTGTCGGACACACCGAAAACGTGTCCGATTAAAAAATATTAAATACAAATTGGACACGCGTGTCCGACACGTGTATCTTAAATATTTTATGAATTTTGTTAAAATATAATTTATTGTGTTTGGCAGGATTTAAACTAAATTTCTTATTTTCTATCCACAATACCAATCATAGATATATATATATATATATATATATATATGGTTGAAGTGATTTCCTTATTGCACATTATCTTTAAAATTTCTAATGCTCATGCTGTTCACCTATGAAGAGCTGCTTCTTAGCATTGCTTTTCCTATCTTTGTACAAATCAGTTTCATGAAATATAATGTTTTTGCTTTTGTTGATCTTTCAATTTTGCTCATCCTAAAATTTATTGCAAAAAATTATCAACCTCATATCCAATTGAACATACTTGAGGTCTAGCTTAAATCTGCTCAAATAACCCACATTTATATTATAAAACAAAACATCATTAAATGATAAAGAAACGAAGAGTCTTCTATTAATTAGATAAGATGAATGCTTACAAAGTTCATCCAAAAAATTTCCAGCAATCCTACATGTAACCTCATGCTTATAACTCTTTCATTCAGGTTGTGCTCATGAGCTCATCAATCCCATTTTGTGATGTTCTTGGAGCTATCCTCTCCATACAGATTGTACTAAAAATTTCCTGAACTCCTTACTGCTAACTTTCATTTATAATATGATTCGAAGAACCTGATCTTCATGCCACACTTATTCTCCAATAAATTTTTTCTTCTTTTTAGAAGAATCAAACACTTCGGATATACCTTTCAGAAAATAAGCTCATACTTTTTTAGTGGTCATTGGTGAAGGTGCTCTAATAAATTGTGGCATCAAGGTACGCTCCTTGGGATGGTCCTCTAATGCTAGTGTGTATTTGTTCCAACTTAGGAGTTTTGGTTTCCTTTTCAGCTTTTGAAAAATTAGCCTCGTTATATTTTT